GAAACTTTCCTTCCCCAGGATTAATTGAAGGGAGGGGGTGTGGAGGGGGGGGAGTGCAAGCGTGGAGCTCAACAGCTCAAGGTAGTTCAGAATCATTCAGTTCTTTCTGCCGAGGAGCAAAAGCAGAAGTTGGCACGATCGGGGAGAAGGTGATTTTTTATTTTATTTTATTAATTTTTTTTTGAAGCCACAGATGTTGCCTTTGCCTTCGTAAAGGGGGCTGAGCACAGGGCAAGTTAAGATGTGGTCCCTGAAGATCTTTAGCCACGCTTTCTCGGCCACATCCAGCTCCTTCCCATCCAGTGGGATTAGCTCGGCCCCACTCGATGCTTATCTGCCCATCATTTGGCTATGAACGCATTAATTATAGCTCGTTGCTTGCGTACCGCTTTGTAATGATATTTTATTGATTTAAATTGTCCCTGGGAGCGTGCCGCGAATTGGGGTAGCTTTATTTAAAGGTACAACAACACCTCCCTGTACGGCGCTTCATTTTCACGGGCGTTGGGGAAAAAAAAAACCCAAACAATGCACTACTGGGAGGGGAAACCCACATATTTTGTTGCCGTTATTTAATGTAACAAATGCTAAAAATCTGCTGGATTCCAGCCCGCAGCATAAAGCTTTGGAAAGGGACCTGCAGCATCTCCTGGGCAGGCGGCTGAACGTGGAACACCAGTTCTGCAAATAGCAGCTAACCTTGTATTTTATGGTTTGCTGGAAAGCGAGGGAAACCTCCTGAGTTGTGCTACTTTTTACTCAAAAGTAAACTGAGAGTAACTCAGTAGAAGGGACAGGAGGCGTTTGGAGAGGAGGTGAAGGCTGTTAACGCAAAACCCTTTCCTAGCAGCGCTCGGAGAGATTTAGGGGATGGCGTGTAGGTCGTCAGCACATGGTTGGATTCTGAATTGTGCCCTTTAGCCCGACAAAAATATTAGTGTGCATGTGTAGCAGCGGATCACAGAGTCCGGATCTGATCGTTTTGCTCCTTCGCTGACGCTGGTATTTCAGGGAGGAGGAGAATGGCTGTATCTGCAGAAGAAAGTTGCTCCAAAGCAAAGAAGTGGCTGTGGGGGAAGCACCGCTCTCCTCGGTCACAGCACTGCACGCTAACACCTTCCAAGAGGTTTGGAAGGACTCTTAAGCCAAGCAGAAAACAATTACTCCCGTAAGGTTCCCTGGAAACGTTAATGGACGCGCCTTGTCACATTTTCAACCCAGGAGGAAACTGGGTAGAAGCTGCCACAGTGTCTGGGGACAGCAGCTTTAACTCCCTGTTGGTTTTGCTAAAGTTCAGGAGTCACGCGCAGGAGAAGAAGACGCCCCTGACCACAAAATAAATCCCGCCCTAAGCCTCTGAGGGTAGAAGGTGAATGAGAGAACAGCCCAAGGCCGTGCTCCCTCACCCTGAATGCCATGAGCCACAGTATCGTGAGGTTGTTGCCTGACATCAAATTGTTCTGCAAAAGTTTCCAAAATCAGTTTGTGTGGTTTTGGTTTTTTTCCCCATTGTACCTGTTTTAATGCAGGCGATGCTGATGGTTATTTTCCTTCTAGTTTCAGAGCCCACCATGAAGAGACTCCTGGTACTTTGTGACTGCCTCTGGGCCTGGACCCTTCTTCTGAATGCATTGACTGAAAGAAGGTGGGGAGATATTTTTTTTTTTTTTAATGCACTGACATATTTTTAGGATCCTTTAATTTCATATAGCAGCATAAGACAAATGCCGCATGGGCTGCACTGCTACTACTAAGTGTACTGGGGGAAGTTAATCCCTGTTCAAATCCCAGATAAATCTAACTAAGGGAAGACTGAAAGAAAACTACAGTTTGTTTGCATAACATCTTTTCTTTTGATATTGTGCAGAAAGAAAAGCAAAGGCTGTCTGAAACAAACTGAAAGTGCCTCTTGAACACCTGTGCAATTCTTTCTACGCTTACATAATGACTGCTCAGAAATAGAAGTTTCTTTAGAGGGGGGGAAAAAGAAAAGAGTGCAATTCCATTTTTTTTTAAAATTTCATTTAAGTTCTATTTAGTAACTTTGTTGTCCCTGCAAGCAGAATCAAAACTTTCACTCCTTCATTGGTGAGGACTGTGTCCTAACTTAGTAGCTGGTTTTGCGCATCCAAAGTGGACCTTCCCGGTGAAGGGAGACTGCTTCGCTGGAGAAGAATTTGCCTGCCCAAACCCTGTAACAGTTTGTTTGAAAGGCCATGCTGTTCTGTTTATAGACTCTGGGTTGAAATTGTAATCTAAAAATAGCATCGTCATTAAGAACAATTTGTAATCACACAGCACCTCATCCAACAACCAGCAGGTTAACTCAAGACTCTGAAGCAGTTTGGAGTTAAAAGTATTCTCTGCCATTCAAAAATCAGGAAAGGTGTTCAAGAAGACTCACAGATGTACTTCTGTGTTTTAAAAATATTAATGTCCCATCAATAACAGCAGAAAAAAAGCAGTAGAAATTTCATCTTTTCAATAGCGATCCCTAAAAGATGGTATTTGTGCCTTGATCTCCATAGTGTCTCCCTAGATAAACTTATCTTCTGACTACCTTGAAGATTTTTAGTAGAGTGGAGTGGGCAAAGGTTCACCTGCACTTCCTCAAAAAAACCCCAGAATAAAAGCTAGTGTTTGTGTAACAGTTGCTGTGTTGAATGAACGTGACATTTTAGAAGCGATACCTTTATTTTCGTAATGTTGTGAGAAAGGTGAGGTTTGAGCTATTCGTGAAGTGCTTCATCTGGCCTAGCTGGAGGATTTTGTGAAAACATGCTTATTATATAGATGAGTGCTCATATATCTGTGTATTTATTATAAGGTATGCATGGGCATTCTGAAATTGAGAGTTAAAATGCATCGGACTGGTGTTTTAAAAATTATGTGGTGTGTCACTATTATAATGACCTGTAGATGGAGTTAGTGCACAGTTTTTTATTACAGTGTGGTTTAATATGAAAACACCATCACATACAGTCATTTTTTTCCTCAATATGCACACACCTTTCATGAAAGAGAGCTGTTTCTAAAGTCATTTTATCACTTCCCTTGCCTTTTCTTCGGGAGTGCTGTTAATCCTTTGTGATAAAAAAAACAATTGGTGGATTTGATGAAGTGTCTGCGATACAGAAAGCCACAATCTCTCCATATCATTCATGTCGGGAAAAAAACCACAAAAACAAAACCCAAAGCCAAACAGCATTAGGGCTATTTCAATATATGTGTTTTTCATGAAAAATAAATCACATTCCCTCTAGAGCTACAGGATACTGTACACAAACGTTCAGATTCTTCCTGCTGTGACCATATGGCAGTAAAACCCAGCTTTTTTACCTCTGATAAAACGGTGGGAAGGACAGGTGAGGGGACTGGCAGAGGTGACTCCCAGCATGGCAGCGGTGGCTTGCGTCGCGTCCTTCCCGACTGCGCAGCGGCCCGACGCCTCCCCTGCAAACACGCCCATTTATTTACCCCTGCCAGCTCTGAAGTGGATTTTAGATGCTTTTTGCCACCTTCATCCCAATGACCTTCTCCTACCCTTGAGATGCGCGTGCGCAGCAGCTGCTTTTCCAGCAATGAGTGTTAATATAAAATCTAATCCAGTGGAAAGCCACGTGTTGCAGTTCTGCGTAAGGTGTGTGAGGAATGATCCTCTGAAAGATAACGCTCGCAGGAGACAGCAGGAGAACTCGTTATTTGGGCACAGGCAGGAAGCATAAAAGAAAAAAAAATAGTTACATCTGTGACTTAAGATTCAACTGTAGGTATCAAAAATAAATAGAAGTCAGTCTATTTTTAGTTTTACTAAGTGAAATTATATGATATGGCGAGAGGAAATTCACAGTATTTTTTTACAACTGTCAGAGATTTTGTCTTTTTTGTTAGAAACAGTGATTTATATGCACTGAAAAAAACCAAACCTGAAAATTGTTCTCTACAAAGTCACATCCTCTTGAAAGAGACCAAAAGTTAGGAAAGCTTCCTAACTCGTTTAAATTTGTAGTATTACGTATTCAAACCTGTACCGAAAATAACTTGGAAGCATTTCCAGAGGCCCCTGTGTTCAGGGTATCTTTCCTCTTTCTCTCTGTGTTTGATACAAGTGGGATGCATGAAGGGTGTTTGCCTGATGCAGCTTACAGAAAAATCATTTTGTAGGTATTTTGACAGAACCGGATCATTTTGTATATTCCTCGTAAGATGGTTTTTTGCTGATTAGAGCAGGAAGACCTGGCAGAGTGCACCGACCCGCGAACCAATGGAAGAATCACTTTTGTGACCAGCCCATATCCTAACCAGAGATTTTGGCTCTGCACTGGGTTCTTTTTATGCAGTTCAGCAGCAAAGCGTGCGACAAAAGGATGTTTTGGAAAGCGTTTTTTTTGCTTTTGGTCATGATGACTGCACGTGTTTGTGATGGAAGCCTTCCCAGCAATGAATGAAAGAGCGATACTGGGTTTGGCTTTAGGACAACTGTAATCTGTGGTTAAGGGAATGTTCTGTGGCAGGATATTTGGTAAAGGTTTCAGATTTCAGAAAAAAGTTGGTTCTGATGTCACCTACAGCAGACAGAAGCGATTAAGCCCAAGGATTTCATTCTGATTTGTAAGACTGTGGTAGCTGAGTTCAAAGAGCTTGATTTTATCCTTGTTCAAGCCAACTTCGGTTGAGTTTGGGATGCTTTGAGTGAGTTAGACATTAGGGATCTGCAAGCAAAGCTTTGTGGACAAGGGAGATTTCTGTATCAACAGGTGGTTTTGTTACGTGTTTGTAAGGAAAAGGTGGAGGCATCCCTCCAAATCTAATTGCTAAAGGAAAATGGGAAATAAAATAAAAAAGAATTATATACTGATGTATGAAAATGTGTACTTGCTTCACTTCTATATTCATAAAGAACATATCTGTATTTTTTTGTTTTATGTTTGGTTTAGCATTTATTTTCAGTACTTAAGTGTCAGTATTCTAAATTATTGTACTTTTCTTTGTGTGCAAAACCTTTATGACTTATGAATTAAATACATTATCTTCTGCTGACAAATGAGCCTTTTCCTGAGCAACACACATTACAACCATTAATGAGTAACAAGGCAAGCATTAAGGAACCAACATTCTGTTTGTTCACCATTTACGGAGAGGCTCTGATTTGCTACAGTTTTTAGAAAAGTCTACCATTTAAGAAGAAAATGTGAAAAGACGGCGTTAAAGCATTACAGTCTTGTTTGACAGAGGAGATTTTGTGATCATAAACCAGGACAAGCAAGATGAAAGAGATTCTGAAATTAGTCTCTTGTAAGGTCACTGGTGCTTTACTGTTTTTCAGTGTTAACTGCTCTGTGTTTCAGCTACGGACAAACCTCATCACAAGATGAACTTAAGGACAACACCACAGTATTTACCAGAATATTGGACCGTCTGCTGGATGGTTACGATAACCGCTTGAGACCAGGACTGGGAGGTGTGTTGCGTTATAATTTTCAAGGTTATATGTTAGATAAAAACAGTTCCAGATATCTTCCCATTATATACGTGCTTTAATTCTGTATATACCTGTAAAATAGTGCTGAAAGGTAATACTCAGATTTTCAAAAATGCTCTGTCTTCTCTATCTTTCACGTATTCATCTTTCTCACACTTATACCCAAAGGAAGAGGAAAACGGTTCACAACTCAAGAAGGCCTCTGAGTACCTATTAAAACTTGGAATGTGTGAAAAATAAAATATAGTAACATAGAACCTGTGACCTGACAAATGACGAGTTTATGAATCAGGCCTAAACAGCACATCTGTCTATGACTGTCTTCATGAGATGATCTGGTTTTAAAAGTGAAAGCATCAATCAGCCTTAGTCATAAAAGCCTCAAGAGAAGTTTATAAGATTTTTTTTTTCTTCTACTTAGGTATATCAGGATTTATTTCTGTTAACACTTTGTCTTCCCAGCTTGGTAAAAATGTCTTTCTCCTGGTTCTGGTGCTGAATCCATAAAAAAGGTATAAAACCATGCAAGAATGATCATTATTCAAACATCGTTACAAAGCCTTGTCTTTATCAGCATCCTTATGTTTACTCTTTGATTTGTTCTACTGTGACGTGATCCCAAAATCGAGCCTCAAAAGCTTGTTGTTCACAAAGGTGAAAGCTCTAGACATGCCAGCGCAGGTCTCTTCTTCCCAGTGGATGGAAATATGCTTCTTTCAGATACTTTGTTTTTCCTTTCTTTTGGGCTCCAGGTCAAATAAAACAGAGCAACCCACCCCACAAAGTATAGTTCAACCCATTTTCATACTAAAGCTTTCAGAGGAACTGCATTGTAAGAAGAACATTACGAACTCTTACACCATCTCCTGCAGATGAAAGGGAAGGTAATTAAGAGCAAGCTTATTCTGTGGTTTCAAGCTACCATCTTGTTATGGTTCTTGACCTGTGAGCCAACTTCTTCAGTTTTAAAGATAAAATTCTGTTTATGAAGTATTAATTAACACCTTTAAGAATGGGTAGATAAAACACCACAAAAAGAGAGTCACTTGTTACTTTTACCTGCCAGTACTTTTGCCCGCTCACTTGGACTAGTGCAGAATTAAATGCTCCTTAATCTTTGATTAATGCAACTGTGCAGTTCAGTCAGCTACTATATCACAGTGAATAAACAGAGCAGAGAACGCAATGAATAAATGGAACTCTCTAACTGTGTAGGGTCTGGTACGTGTCTGCGAGAAAAATCTGAGCATATGATGATTCCTCGTATGAGTTTTGTTGCTTTTGCGATTTGTTTAACAGTTACTAGAAAAGCAAAGAGAGAGAGGTGCAGGAAGAGGACTTTTTGCTCGTTCTCTGGATTGCAGTTCAGAGATACAGAGCCTTACGTACGTGTGCTTTGGTAAGAGGTTTCTGAAGCCAGACTTTAAGGGTGCCCTGGGAGAACGGGTCTGTGTACTTCATGGAAGGATCATCCAAGCCAGTTAAAATTCACTCCCGACAGAAAGATTGGTTTAACGCAGCTGCTTCTATAGGAGGAAATGAGTCTCTTCACAAACTTTAACAGCCATTTGCATCGCTGTTGGTTAAAAGCAAACGTGAGCGGAGCACAGGAAATACCGGGTGGAGGGAAGATGAGATTGGAGTAGTTTCTCTAACCGAGGGCTTGAGAAGTTGAAATGATCTTTGCATCCCTCCTTATTTGAATTGTGTTGTGAGTTCCCTCCTGCAGTCAAGAACTCTGAGTTATCACAATTTCCCTGTTGCTCAGTACGTGATAGTTTCATGGTGTCAGTTCAGCAGAGTAAATTTAATTTATATTTGTCAATTTTGAATACTAGTGCTAAGAGTGCCGGGATTTAAAAAAAAAATCTCAAATCTGATGAAATTGGGGGCAGTACATTAATGTTTAAAATCAAATGTAGTAAGGAGTAGCTTTACTCTTTTGACTGTTGAATAATGCTTTGTTCAAAAGACAGAAATTACAGATTTCGAGAACGAGGGACAAACGTCTAGGTCAATGTTTTCAGTTCTGGTACCAATTTACAATAAAGGGTTTGGTCAGGAATTCTGAAATTCACCTCTGCAAACCCTTCTTGCTGAGATATCTAAGTACGAGCTAAGAACTGCAAGATGACTCAGTTTTGACACGTTTGATTTAGACACTTGGTATAATGGGGAAACATATTCCAAAATGTTTCATATGTACAAATATCCAATATATCAAATATAACACGTTTTTTGGATTTGGAATGTCAATAGCCTTCACTTAGAGCATGATCTGTTGCTGGAAATTTTAAAATGTGTGTGAAGAGCAGTGGTTTCATTATTCTTCCCAACATCAGTGATAGCCTCCTATTAAATATTCCAATCACAACATGATTTTTGTCCACTCTGAAGAGAAAGTTAAACAAGTTACCCATATAACAGCATTTTCAGATATACAGAATGAGGTCTTAAAGCTCATTCATTCCGTATTAGCTGTGATGTAGTTATCAGAGAACTTAAGACCAGAGACTCTCATATATATACATTATCTTGATAAATTTTACAGTGTTGCACGCAATGTGAATCCATGTGCCACTGATCACACTATAGCATTCTTCCAGTTATCCAAAATGAACTCTCCTGTTCTTCCTATGCCTTCTGAGAAACAGTGGATGAAGTAAAACATGGTGTGGTGTAGTTACTATCTTCTACAGAAAGGGGCACGTGGCAGAGAATTCTCTGCTGATCCCAGTAGGACCCTTCTTTTGCAGTGCAGTTTTTCAAATACATACACGTATAGAAAACAGAATTCCATCCATGAAAAAGAAAAAAAACCCCACAACTGAAAAGAGAATCTCTCTTTCTCACCTATGGAAGAAAAGGCAGATGACAGAGTGTCTTCAGTCAGTTCATTTGTTTCTCCTTCCTTGCGTTTATGTGCACGCATGAAGAATTCACTGCCAAAAAGGTAAGTTTACTGAAAAATCATAACGACTTGTGAAAGCGGTTTGACCTTGGTTCCTGCTCCACACACTTGCAGGAGCAATTTCCTTCTTTTTGAGCTCAATATTTCTCTATGCCAAGTTTGCAAACTTCCTATTAGCGTGACGAACGGTTTTATTGTTTGGTAGAAATACCTGGTGAGGCAGATGAGGCACCGGGAAGGCAGGAACAGTCTCATGGCGAGATCTCATTACAAAGTTGTTGGAGCTACGCTATCTATTCATTGGAAAGCCAGGTTAAAAGGTGGAGCATTAAGACAATGAAAATTTTAGAGGTGGTGAATTTGGAATCACTCAGCATATGTGGAATCAGTGCTAGATTAATATTAAGTCCCCTCTTTCCTTTTTTTTTTTCAGCTCTTTTGAGCTATCACTTCAAAAGGAAAACTAAAAAAACACATATGCTGCACAAAGAGTATGGGAATGAAAATTATTCATCTGATAAGCCAGTAAGGCCATACCTGAAATTAAGTGAGCAGCTCTGAGCATTCTGCCATTAAACAGGAAGGAATTATTTCTCATTAACAAGAATATATATATATATATATATATAAAAGAGTAGGTGACCCATGGGGAAAATTTGTAGTGATTGAATATGCTCATTATTTAAAAAACAGCATTGTGGCTAAAATTGATCTGATTTTTCTCGAAAAGAAACGTGCAGCGCTGTATTACACATGGGCATGCTTGCACCTCTTATTAGTAATTATTGATATAAATTACGTTATTTAGATGTTTGCCTCCTTCATATGTGGGCATAGTCACTTAGTCAGACATCGCTAGGAAATAGCATCTGTTGTATTCATCTGTAAACATGGACAAAATAATTGCATTTCCAGTTATTTATGCCTGGGAAATAGAACTTTCAAAATGAAGGTAAAAATGTTCTGAGTCACACTGGAGGACACCTATTAACTCCACGAGAGGATAACAACTTACAAAAAGCAAGGAGGAGGAATTGCAGAGAGTAGCACACTGAAGCGGAAAAAGAGGAAATCATGTTAGGCATTAAGAGAAAAAAGTGGCAAAGTCATTTAGGTAATAGCATAATTTCCTGTGGGAACTACCTGGGTCCTAGAATTAAGAGGTAGTAAAAAATGGGCTAAATAATAAAGATGCTCTTCTCTTTTCAAATACACAATCCTGAACAAAATAAAGGATCTGATGATGCTGGGAAGGAGTCAAATAAGGAGGAAAATTCACCTCAGTGTTTGGTGACATCTCTTAACGAACCACTCTGTGAAGAGGCAGAGTTGAAACGAATGAAAGAGCAACGAAAAAATGGTGGAAGAAATAAGTTTCTCAGTTAAATGGATATGCCATTGCCTTGTGCCTTCGTGTGGGGAGGGGAGATGAGCCCTAGGATGCCACCACAGCAGAGTCGGAGTGCCACAGTTGTTTGTGCTTGGTGCTGAGATTCATTAACAGAAAATCAGGTGCAGCTCCAGGTTTTTGGAAGACTTACCAGCTTTGCAATGCACACATCCCCTCCCTAAAACTAAAGGATATTGTGTGATCTGTGACCTTTTGACTAAGAATTATTGTAAATGTGGGTTTTTTCTTCTCCTTGAGAGAGCTGGAAGTTGGAAGAACGTTGGAGAGAGTTTGTAGTTGGAAGGTTAATACGGAACAAGAATGAGTTTAATTAGACAGACAAGAATCTTCGTAAATGAAATTTTATAGTTGGGGCTAGTGCCTGTTAGAGCATCCCGAGTAGATTATCAACATTACTTCAGGATTGAACAGAATTATACTTGGTTTATGCTCTCAGTAAAAGCCATTTGTTGCTCTCTCCTGTATGAGGTTTATCAAAATTGAGTGTGACTGTCCCTAAGTGGAACGTTGGTCCGTCTCAGGCAATCCATTACTTCCACAGAGCGCTTAGATTTAACGTGATGGGAACCAAACCTGACAGTATTATGTTAATGAGCTTTTAAAATTCAGTTTTATGGGAACATTATCAATAAATATATGATAAATTTACCTCTTGGTGATCAAGGGCCCAATGAAAATGATTGGATTTGAACTCAAATCTGAGCTAACTTAAAGTTCTGGGAAAATATGTCTTTTGCTGTGTATGAGTAGTAAAAATTTAGCTAAACCTACGTGTTTCTACTCAAAAGAGAGTTGTATACAAGACCCCTACGCATTGTTCTGGAAGTGAAGAAGGACTAGATGCTAAAATTAACTCTGTAAAAAGTGAATGGGCTGACTTGGGTCCTTTTCCCGCTGGGTACACTCCCCATTAATGTAAAGCCAATGGTAAAAAGCCATAGAAGACCCTAGGAAAACTGATTTAATGCAATAGTAGGGTGGTAAGGAGGATATGAGCAGCTTTGAGCTGTTAATTTGGTGTGAGGAGAGCTGCCACAACACCGTGCAGGTCTCGGTAGAGCCTTCATATCAGCTAAGACTAGAGCTGGGTAATCGCAGGCCGCCTCGCTCTTCTCCCTTTTGGACTCTACTTTTCCAAAAGCAGCAGCACAAAATTCTTACGAGTGTGTTTGTTGTGGTTCTTCAATCACAATAATTCAGTCAAAACACTTTTTTTTTTCCCAGTAATAATAGCACATGCTATACACGCATCTAAATTCCTTTCATTCAAAACCATGGGAAAAGTTCTCTCTATTTTAATAATTATAGCACGCGCTTGAACAAGATGTGCAGGAGGAACAAGTGCATTACCAAAAAAGATGGAATTAGTTTCAACCACCAAAATATGCAATTCAAATAAGCCTTGTGCTCGAGTACTAGCAGATCAAACAGGGAAATAGTTAATGTGTAGTTTTCTATGATAAATAGGCTTATTTCCTGCTGTTGAAATAAATTTGTGTTTCTTATTTTGTTCTGAATTTGTAATCCAATCACAATTTGAGCAATAATAAGCTCCCTGGTAGCTTGAAGAAAAATATATATCGTTATTAATTTTGAGAGTTTACATTAGTCTAGCATCATTAGCAGAATGCAGTGGTTACAAACAGTAAAATTACAGTAGCCCACATGGACTGGAGCTTTCATAGCTATACGTGGATCAGTTGCCCAAGGCTGTGTTCAGTGTCTAGGGGTGGTGCTCAGCTGCTGATCAGTAAACTACTTAGGGAATCAGAAAGGTTGGAAAAGACCTCTAAGATCATCTAGTCAAACCATTAGCCCAATACTACAATGACCACTAAATTATATCCCCAAGTGCCATGTCTACATGATTTTTGAACCCCTCCAGGGATGGTGACTCTACCACTTCCCTGGGCAGCCTGTTCCAGTGCCTCACCACTCGTTCAGTGAAGAAATTTTCCCTAATACCTGATCATGGATCCTACAGTTGCTTTATCGCAAAACTACTAAGTCATTAATAATTTCCCTGACTTTTTTACTGGAATGGTTATATGTTCTACAGATATCCCTGTATTACTTAGTCCCGGTTCACGAGGTAGATGTTACAGTCAAGAGACCTGGTTAACACATTTGTGCAACTGATGGAGTTACCCTCAGCAGTCCAATCAGCTCCTGACCTGACCTCGGTTAGTTCAAGCACTCAGGATTTTCTCTAGTTCTTAGGGGTATTGTGAAGGCTTTGAATACAGCTCAGGATTCCAGGGTCCTGAAAAATGCATTCTGAGCATTTGAAGCATGGTTTAAGCTTTCCCATGGTAATCAAGCTGCAAACGGGTTAACCTTGATTCTAAATATATATCCCAACTGTACGAGTCAACACGTGTCCTGTGCAGGAGTGACTCACAACTTCTGAAGCTCTTAACAAAGCACAGTTGAATCACCTAGTTAGTAAAGCAGTAAACAAAAATTTCAAAACATCCATATGGCTTTGGAGGGGCTAATGTCGTTCTGTGTGTTCATACACACTTCTTCGTTGCTTTTGAAAAGGAGGTAGATACCAAAGAAAAAAAGAAATTGTTTGTTGGCGTGTACAGTGGTTTTATCTGGATTTGAAGAGACCCTTAGATTAGATGCTTTGGAAAAGTCTAATCAGTATGAAGATACCACAATCTCTTGTGAGTTCACAATCTGAATTTCCTATTATTACTTATGACTTACGCTTAAATCACCTTCAGTGTTCTATAGAAATGAAATGCATTGCTCATTTTCCCACTCCCTTGGAAATACTCCATCTACTGCCAAAGCTGTTAGTTTCCATTTGTGTCCTCAGTGATTAACTTAAATCTCAACCTCTCTACTATGACTGTATGTCTCCCAAAACTGGAATCCAAGATACCACTTCATGATATGCCGCTGATTCAAAACCCATGTTCTATCCTTGTGCAAGGTAAATCAATTAAATAGATTATATTAAATAGAGGCTCACTCAGAGCTGTGAATCTGGGCTTACACCATGAAGAACTTCTAGAATCTTCTGTCTCCTAATTACACATCTTTTAAAGAGTCGTGTGAGTTTTACTTCTCAATGTGTAAGAGGCCAGTGGGCTTCATGATTATAGTAGTTTCTCAGTCTTAAGCAAAGGTCATTCAGTAACTGGAACTTAAAGAATCCATTCAGCAGTGTTTTACTGAACCTTGGGAAATCTCCATCCTCGTTTTCTGCCAGCTATTTCTTACAGGACTACAGCTTCTTGAACTTTTGTAAAAGCAGTGGGCTGATGAAGAGAGAGTACTTTTCTTCCAAATCAAGTAATTTCTGGACAACCGTATGCTTCTTCCAGTAACAGAAGGTTAAATTCTCACTGCAAACCTAAGTCCAAAGCCAATCAAGAGAACACTTAATTTTTTTAAGACTGTTGAAAAACTTGTAAATGATGATAAGGTCACACATTAATTCCACTGGACAGCCAAGGAGGAAATATCACCTGTCCAACGCTTTTGTCACCAGACACTGTAGTTTGTACAAGTGTCAATCACAGGCTTAAAAAGATATTATGCAATTCAGACACTTCACAGCATTTTACTTTCTGTAATTATGAATAATAGCTTGGTAATTTCATCCTTTCACTTTTTTTAATGAGTCTTGGGGATTGCTTTTGCTACCACCTAACTTTTGCATTTACGTGCTAGCAGAATCCAAGCATCATTCAGTGCGTTACTACAGCAACTGTAAAATCAGATCTAGTAGTACAGCTTGATCATTGCTATCCCTTGAAAGGAGATTTTTATTGTATATATATTTAACTGCTTACATTTACATATACTTTATATATAGAGAGAGAAGTTGTAGACTTTTTAAAATGAAAAAAGCCTGTATGTGCATTGTAGAGCACCGAGTCTCAGAACTTTTGCACCAGATACAGAAACGCATATTGTTCCTGGCTGCTTAACCTTAATTCCTTATTTCACTTTTCTTCCGTCAGAACTTTCTTGTCAGATGGAACAAATCATATATAAACAGTCCAAAGTCATCTTGAAATCAGAGGGACATATTAAATTAGTTTTTAAATTCAATTATTTAAATAATACTATATAGATAGCTACATAAATATATTTCTTAATCTTAGACTTTTGCTTACTACACTTTTCCGTTAGCCTCTTTTCTTTAGTGTTACTTTCGATATTCCAATTTATTTTTTTTTTAAAGTTACTTGAGCAATGTATCGCTCCTTGCACATTTGAAATTTCTACCAAAAACCCCACGCTGGCTCATATAGCGCTACTGTAAAACCATGCAGACTTACATCCCTAAGAATTCCGAAAGCCCATAGGATTAGCTCCACTCAACACTGTTCGGAGTGATGCCTCCAGGTGGTGTTACTTCCTGCAGCTGTATTTAAGTCAACAGAGTTATTCTACTATATGCCATCCTGCGTGAATATTTAGTGATGCGTGGCCTAGAAAATACCAGTATGTGCAGAAGGGACTGACTCTGTGTGTGTGTGTGTGTGTGTGTGGAGAGGGAGAAGAGAGAGAGAGGTGGGAGATTAATCTCGTGTGTTGCTCATAGTGACTTTTAACAGTAGATCTGCAGAATAATAGAATCATTAAGGTTGGAAAAGACCTCCAAGATCTAGTCCAGCCAGGTGTTTGCCTCTTTCTGGAGATCAGCACCATTTTAAGTGTCTCAGACTCAACTTTGTGACCACTAAAACCATTAGATTCGTCTGAAGCGGCCAAGGACATTGTGCCAGTGAGCAAATACACATCCTTAAAATCACAGGGAAGTCCAGCGTTATGGTATAACACATGCCTATCATCTGTGCTACGTGCATGTTACAGATTTCTGAATTATTATTTCTACCAATATATCACCTAGTCCTATAAAACAAATCTGGCAGCTTGAGGGAAGTATAATACTAGTGCCCGTATCAATTTAAAAAGAAATACAAGACATTTTCAAACTAATCTAAGTGCAAAATTGTAGCAGAGATGTTTAGCTGATATTTATTTGGAAAATTTTAATTCCATTTTGGGTATTGCAGTTGATGGTAATGCAGCCATTTCTTACTCATGCCAATAAAATATCTTTATGTTTTTATAGACCATAACAGGTTATCTCTCTGTATTCCGTGTTCCTATGTCTTGATACAGAATACATAATTCATAAGCCAAGGGTTAATTATTAGAGACCTTCATTCAGCTTGCCCGGAAACACTGAGTACCCAGTGAGACTTTTGAGTACTCTGTAAAATATTCAACACTATTTATATTGCCAGCAAGAAGATTTTTTTAGTCAAAGAGTGAAAATATTTACACCATGGCACGACTATGGTTGCCATCCTGTGGCATCACAAGCCACGCCTCAAAAAAGTTCTGTGGAAATGCTGCAAGAAAAAGTGTTGTTGCTGACAATATTGACTGTGAAATTACATCCAGAAGCAGTAAATTATCAGGACCGTATTGTGGGCTAATTTTAGAGCGGCTAATCAAAGGCAATAATTTTTCTATTTGTTGTGAGGATTGGTAGTTGTTAGATCTAATGAAGACTGTTGATAGACACTCACTGTCCTAATTTCCTGCTTCATCAGAGCGTGTCACTGAAGTGAAGACTGACATCTTCGTCACCAGTTTTGGGCCCGTTTCAGACCACGATATGGTAAGTGACGGCCTATGTTTCTACACTGTCTATTTTCTCTTGTCTTTGCCATTTGAGGATGAAATATCTAGGCAATAACTTATTTACTGCTTTGAATGCTGGGCATTTTCAAAACTCTCGATTCCAAAAACGCTGTCAGCTTTTATGTGCAAACAAGCATTTAAGTGCCCTGAAATTAGCAGCCTCGATGACTTTAATAATGTGTTTTAACAGACCTTAGATTTCCTACATAATATGTTATGAAATGCATTAGGGTTTGGATCCGTATTCTTCTGAGAAGGATCACTCAGGTCCTTGGTGTCACATCACTGATCCAATTTGCTGAGAAAGGTCATAATCATAAAACGCAGTTAACACTTATGCCTCCAGTGCGACATCCATACAGGCTAACCTGCGTTTTTATATTAAAAGCTACTGATCAATGGGAAGTGACTTCCCTAGATCTTGGCTGCTGAAAGAGAAGATTAATGAGAGAATTAGTGTCACTTCTTTATGGAATGAATATTAAAATCAAATTGCTCGATAGCTGCAGGGGATGGAGAAGTCCAGAAAACTGAATGAAGGTGGTGTGAGCCCTGGTCTTAAGAGATATTAAAAATTGTTTAAAAATAAGGATAAGGTGTTTTGAATTTTGCATATAAATGAGGTCTTCACAAGTAGGTTGCTACTGACAGGGCAATCCTGGTCTGCAGCTCCTGCTATCTGCTGTGTTAAGATGAACGCTGGAAACATTCTCATTAATTTAAATGAAGAAAAGAAAATAATTCAGCCTTGGAGCTGGCTACATTTAGCTAGATACATTCACCGAAAGAAAGATGAAAAAAACCCCAAAACCCAAGAAAAAGCTAGCACAGAAAAGGAAGCAAGTTCCATTTTTTACCACAAAACTGTCAGTTGTTCAATTTGAACTTAAACTATAGACAGGCCTTGAACACAGGGTTCAAAACAGAGCTAAGGCATGGAATAACAAAGTAACTTTCACGAGATAGTTCATTTTCCTAAAAGAACTTTACGCAAAGATACTGTTTTCTTGATTGCTTAGAAATAGCATTTATAAAACTGCAGTCAAATTTATAATTGCAATTGCTGTAATAGTTAATTGAGAAATAATAGCCTGGACAGCACAGGCTTTTTGACCAGTCATTCTGCTCAGAAGACGTGCAATACAAGTGTCGTCCAGGGAAATAAGTAAACTGGTGACTCATCTCCTCGGAGCATATATACAACACTGTCTAAGTACCATGAAGAATAATAGAAAAAAAAAAAAATTCAATGACTTTTGCTATTTTATTCTGTGATAATCTGGTGAAATTGCCATATCTACTTATTACTCTAAACGGTACATTAAAAGAAAGGAGATGACTTGTCTTAAAGATTGGTAGAAACCACTGACATCCACTGTTTGTATCCTGGCGATGGGTTCAGCAAAACCCCTTCGTCTTGCTTTCCCATTTCTATCTCAAAATAGGTAACCAATCACCACCGGACAAGGTGAAAACTTCAAATACAGACATGCAGCAAAAATACAGATTTTTTTTAAAACTTAATCATTTTTGAATTAAAACTGTAGAAGCTGCAGTTTGTAAGTGATCAGAGGTTGCTCCTTGATTGGAGAGACCTGTCTTATTGGAGCAGATCCTTTGTTAATTGCCTGAATATTAACGTAATGTCAAGTGTTGGGCTGGACACAGCTGCTTGTGGGAGGCGAACAAAAAAAGGAGCAACAGATATATATGGGTGAACGTACGCTTTGTATTAATATTTATTAGAATTGTGCCCTATAAGTAACTCACTAAGCTATTGTTTGTTCTGTTGAGTCAGATTTACTAGAAAACTCCAATAATGAGTGGCAATCCAACAAACAAATAGGTATGGATGCATTCTTGCCAAAAATAATCTACTTTCAGAATTAGGTATATTTGGAAAAAAATTAATTATTTCCGCTACAGTTAAGTGCAGCTGAATTACTGTGGCGTAAGTGGTCACTATTTAAAATTTTAAAATCTCAGAAATAGTTAAAAACCCATACCACATTGGCTCCTGATTTTCACTTAGCTAAATGGGAGAAAGAATCCATCACTCTATTTATAAAGGAATCCATCATCCTGTTTATAAAGTGCGTGACCAAGAAACACACAGGCAGGTGTTCATGTGTTTTGAAAACTAAGGAATTGGAGAAAAGCATTTAGTGTAAAACTCCTACTCACGTCCCCTAAAAAGTAATGTCTGTGCAGCCTACTCATGCTAACTCTTTTGCCTGAGGAAATAAGTGTGAAATCTGAGACTGAGAGAGAAAAATCAAGCAAAGAGCTTACCAGAAAATAAAGTTTATATTAACTCCAATGCACTTTTAGCGCCAAGTCCTCCACGCACACGTGCTGCAGCGTGGTGGTAGACACTGACATTTGGGGGCTACCCCACATATGCTCCAGCGAGCAGATTTAAAGTAAATGCAAGACTGGGTTGTGGGATTTGGTCACGGGGAGGCCTCCCGAGCAGCTGGACCGGTGCGCTGCGGGATCGACGCGGTGCCGCCTGAGCCCGGCACTGATGGCTGGGAACTGGCGATGAGCCGTTCCAGCTGACGCCGTATGTTACGAAACTCCAGCCACAGCGAGACATCAGCGTACCTAGACCATCTGTTAGCAGGAATCCGACGAGGCAGTTACATAGATAGTAGGTTGGTGTATCGGGGAGTAGTACATGGTGTTCCTACCCACTCTCAACACGCTCTTAGACATAACCCGTTATTCTATAAAGAGACCGTCTTGGCTCGTTCTTCAACTTGTGAATGCAGTTAAACATCAGAAAAGCAATTTTTAAAATGAAAACATCTCTTCCGGGAAGAGCTTCGCAGGTTTTCAGGCACGCTTTCAGATGGGGGATGGAACTAATGGACACGTAACTGGCTCTTCTCACACGACTGTCAGTTTTGTGAAATTTTTTATATATATTATCTGAAGGGTTGGACTAGGTGATCTTTCTAGGTCCCTTCCAACCCCTAACATTCCATCATCTGGAATAAGAAGCATGTAAAAATTAATCTTCTTAAAGGCGTGGTTTGTTGTTTGTATTTTTTTCCTAGTAAACCTTCATTCTCATTGCTTCTCTACCGTAAGCTCTCCAGCAACAAATTTCCACCTTACTAACTTTCCTACACAGCACCCTGTCTGACCGCAGCACCCCATAGACCACAGCACTGTGAATAAACAGTCTCTGGGGAGAGATATCAGACGAGTAAATCAGAGAACAATTAAGTCAAAGTGATATAAATACTCAGTACCATGCAACTTAGTACCAAAGCGCAGGCAGGATTCTTCTTTCTTTACCTGCACACTAAGGAATGAAGCGTCTCCATTGTGGAGAATTTATTCCAAATTTCATCTCGCTCACAGACCACTGCTATACTGCATGGTTTGGAGATAATCCTTCCGCTCCCTTGCTCTGTAGGGCACCCTCCCGCAGAAGAAAGCCCTAGTCAGACTATCTGATGACTCGATCTTAAAGATCAACTGTCTGTCGGGACTCATTTGAGGAAAACTATTGTACAGGTTAAAGTGGGCAGTGAAAGCTAAAGAGTTGAGAAACCTCAGCCAAAATGAATTCATTCTATATGGTGCCACAGCCTAGGATGGGGAAGGATGCAGTCTGTGCCAGGCATGACCCGGCAGCTCCTTTTTAATTGAGTTTTATCTTATACTGCCAGGTCCCTTATCAAATCTCTCAGACTCCTTGTTCTTTTCTAGCATAAGAAAAGTTGTGTTCATATAAGATGAAGAACCAGACTCCCTTCTCTCAACCTGTACCACCTCCCACTCACCTCCTTCTTTGCAGTTGAAAGAGATAAAAAGGGAATGACTTGCATGCACACTGAAATGATGTCACCTTCTGGGCATGTCTTTTACCTTTCCCATGCATGTAGGAGGAAGTTTTCTTTGGAGCTGGTAAAATATGAAGGGAATCCAAGATTTTAATGCCATCTACTGCCTTTTAAACCTCTTTCTTTCCTACTCTGCTACACACCTGGACAAGATTTTGCACACAGTTGAACCTACGGCCCCAACCCAGCAAAATTCTGAAGCAAGTACTTGGCCATAAGTACACAACTGCTGTCACTGGAGCTGAACAAATCTAGGCTTCAGCAGCTCACTGAGCATGTGATTAAAAAAATGGAAATATAATTAAGCATGCGCCAAAATGATTCACAGGTCTGGAATGTAAATTAAGAAAATAAAAATAGAATAACAGCAAAGTAAGAACACCCCACGGGACTGCGACGTTTCCATGTCCACAAAAAATTTATTTAGGCATTTCATACCCTAAAACCAGGAAAACCACGCCACCAGTAAGAAACACCATTCTTACTTGCTGATGGTTGCACAAGGAACAAAGAGCTCGCAATCGCTTACGTTGCACACAGGGTTGCCGGTTGTTAAAAGAAAAATCGCAGTGTAAGGGAGCCTGCCACAGAGAGGATTCGCATGCTCCTTCCAGAATATTTCTCTTTAGCGACATCCTCTTTTGGACAGCTCTTTTCCTTATAGCTCTGCGTGCCTTCACACACAGCAGTTTCCTTTATTTCAGGATTTGCCATCTCCATTGGCAGGAGATCTCAGCAAAGTTTCAGCTCCTCAGCCAAAAGATGATCATAAAGGGTAATTCTGAGCGGTGCTGGGATAGCTACTTCTGACACTGAGCGCGGTATCATAGCCACGAACGCTGGAGGGGGCAGGATATTTCCGTGCTGAACTTCCACGTCAGAGTGGATTTTTTTCCCTGGGAAAATAGCTTTTCACTCCACATTCACCTGTATTTTATATATAATACTACAACAGGCTCGTTTCCTTCAAAAAGACATATTCATCCTGTGCTCTGCATGTTGGCTACCTATCCACAGGTTCAGATTACGGTTTTATGGAAGGCGAAGGAAAAGTGAGAAAAGGGTGAATTATTTTGTTTCGGCTGCATTATATCTCGAATTTTTGTCTGACTTTTGTTATGCTGTTCTCCCTAGCATTTATTCTGTTCAACACAGCAGTGATATTGTAACTGTTTAATAATGAACTTCAAGTACATCGTAAGTGATACAATAATAAATGTTCTGCTAATTACTAATTTCATTACTAGTAATCTGGCTTCTAGGGAATGGGAAGAATATGCTTTTCAGGTTCTTCCATTGCTACAGGCAGAATCATAAATGTTTTCCTTTTTTTTGTAAATTGATGTAGGAATACACTATAGATGTATTTTTCCGCCAAAGCTGGAAAGATGAGAGATTAAAATTCAAAGGACCTATGACTGTTCTCCGGTTAAACAATTTAATGGCCAGCAAAATTTGGACACCCGATACCTTTTTCCACAATGGAAAGAAGTCGGTGGCTCATAACATGACAATGCCAAATAAACTATTACGAATTACAGAGGATGGGACATTGCTCTACACAATGAGGTGAGTCCTAAAATATTATATCCTTCATTTCGTTTGACAAGTTAACTTGTTAAAGCATCTTATTTTCCAAATGCCTCCTGTTTGCTTCCTTTTTGAGCATAATTTGCTTCCTGCTTAGTAATTCTTTTCACAATAGGCCACGAAATGATGGACAAGCAGGTATTTGCAGTCTTTATTTTTCCCCCTCCTGCTGTGCTACCCTCAGACTCCCTGGATGTGACTTAATGCTTGGTTTTAAAAAGGTAGCTAGAAGGATCAGGAATCCATCTGTTTGCAGAGGACCTTAATCTGGAGTTGCTTTTAAGGATTCAGTCAGCAAAGTATAATAAAGCCTGAAAGTTTAATACAATCTAGATCATGTACAATAGTCTTTAATCTTTGGATTCTATAAAAAGCAGATTTGAAGACCTAGCAAATGCACACAGAATTCATTGCCCATTCTTCATATTTCGTGTGCCTGGGAATACAGAGCATTACCACCTGAAAACAGACATTTCTTAGCCCACTCATAACAAGAAAAACAGCTCACTAAAGCATTTGGAAAGTTAGGAGAAAAAAAATTATTTTTGTGCTGGCACTACTCTTACTGGAAATATATTATTCTCTTTTTGGATGACTGAGCTCTAGTTATCCAGTTGTCAGCAAACAAGTTAAATCCTTTTGAAATAATACTACTGTAGAATTATGGAAATATTCTGGATTAAAAAGCTGCAAATTAAACAATTTCAAAAATGATACGTTGTCTCTACAGATCTCCTGTTTCTGTCTCCCACGCAGTCAAACAAGGTGTAAAGTGATTCTGATGGCTTAAAGCCAGGGTGGACAGCTTAGTACATAGGTGAACGTGGAGTATTAAAAATTCCAAAGGTATATTTTAAAAAGCAGTAAAATATTTAGAGACAACAAATTCTCCTGACTTTCGAGATCCTATCAAATACGTTCAATTTATTCTGCAACATCTTTCAGGACTGCCTAGGCTAGGGTGGAATCTGCTTGGCTGGTAGTTACACGAGTCCAGGTCAATTGTTGTTTTCTTCCTAAATGCTCTTTTTTTTTAAAACCGTAACCATTTCTGTCTGCTCCCCTTTGCAAAGTGCCTTAATACAATCTTCTGCCTAGCATTCAAGTATTATCGCTCATTCCTTACTGATGCATAGTATGTGACTGTCTCTAGTTTACTTCATCTCTTTTATTGAGAAATGTGTTTGCACCCAAGCTGACAGCAACAAAATTATTTCAGCAAATGTCTGAGCGTCCAGACTGGGCCAGTTTTAACGACAGCAGCGAGGAAGCAATTTCGGTCACTAATAGATTTTAATTCTTACACCAAGTTAGAAGGCTGAGCGTGACACACGGCGGAGGGGCAGAGCCAGGAGAGCCTGTCAACACCCCCAGCCAGACACTTCAGGTCTCGTTCTAGCTGCTAATTAATCACATTACAGATATTATGCTATACTTATTCTCTGTTTCTTAATAGAAGTCTCTTCGCTGTTTCTATGAAACTAGAATAAATGTGTCCTTTTGCTCATTAATCCATTATAGATTGACTGTGAGAGCAGAATGTCCAATGCATTTAGAAGACTTTCCCATGGATGCGCATGCTTGCCCTTTGAAATTTGGAAGCTGTAAGTTTATTTTAAATTGAGGTTTCTCCCTTTTTTAGGTCACTTTCCAAAAGTATTTTGCCACTTGGAAAACCTCAAGGTTTTCATCGTGTGTATTTTTCACCTTTTTGACAGGGTTGTATTTTTATTCTTATACATATATATGTATTTATATTTAGTATAATGAATTCTTTATGTTACTTAAATATCCTCCAATGTCATGCCTGGACATTCGCGAAAGAGAAAAATGGCAGTGCTCTAAATGTCTAGAAAAGTAGTTTGTCCAATAGAAAATGTTGTTAAACTTATAGTTGCTTTATTCTATTAAGACCCCAAATCAAATGTAGAAAAAAGTAATGCAGATATGGATAACTGGATTGGTTTACCTGAAAACATTGCTCCTACTGTAGCCTTGGCATGTTTAGAACAAACTTTTGCCTAAGATTATAAAATGTGATTACAATCACATAATTTTCTAGAAGTGAAAAACCTCACATATCTCCAAATAGAGTCCTCCACTTGCAGAATTTGTAACCTTAGATTAGAGAAGACACTGGGCAAAATGTAACGTACTGAAATCAGAGTATAATTGGCAAAGCTTTCCATAAGTTAAGACTTTCCCCCAAAACTTTAACTTGAACAGCAACCAACCTGATGCCGACACATTCAAACTTAGCTAAACATGATATTTAAAAAAGTCGAATATAGCCCCACTTCAATTCTTAAAAAAAAAAAAAAAAGAAAAAAAGAGCAAAGAGCTGTTTCATTCTGGTTCGTTCAGCACGAACAAGGAAGACAAAATGTGTAGAAAATGTAATAGTGTACAAATTGTTTCCTCAATGGCTACTTTTTTTCTAGTAGAAATGGGTCGTTTCACTGATAATGGGTACTTAGTGACTTGATCAATTTTAGAAGTCAACAAACAGAACACCCAATTCATTCTTCACATGGTGCCAGACAGGGTGATAATTTACTTTGGGCTGAATAGCTCTGTGTTTACCATGAGAAAAGACCGGTATTTTGTCTTTAAAGAGCTGCTCGCCTCCTAGATAAGATTTAGAGAACAAAAGGCTCCTAGAAACTTGGGGAATAACTGACAAGAACAGCTTACTCCTTGAACGTTAAGTTTTCTTACAGCAATTACAGTAAATCTCTCCAAGTCTCCCGTGAAACAGAAAGGGGTTGGGAGCAGGGGGAAGCCTTACCGCGGCTGATAAAAATGCAAATAGCTCCAGTGGGTTCTTGATTCTTGATTAATAACAGGAGATCCGTGCGCCTGAGATCCCAGTTACATCAGAAGTGGTTGCAGGCTTTAACTTCTTCTGGAATTCACCTTAAAGTGTTTCTGTGGACTGCATGCTGGATGTGGGAAGGTGGCTAATCATATGTAAAAAAATACAAATAGTAATACAAATCTAAACCACCAACGGTCTCTGGACAAATGGGATCTACTAGGTTAAGACACCAACCTGTCTGGGCATCACTGAACCACAGCCTACACACCAGACACTCCCTAGTCTGAGCCATAGCTCCTATTTTTTTCTTACATCATGTTCTTTGTGGCCCACTGTACCCCCAATCAGTGTAACTCACAAGGATTGAGAGATGTAAAAATTATGCATGAAAAGGGATAGATAACACACATTTGAATACAACTCCAGAGCCACACCCCAAGGTCAAAGGAAGATAACAAAAAGACTTGGAGAGTATCCAAATTAGATTCCTTTTTATCCTGAATTAAAAAAAAAAACCAAAAACAACATAATTTTCTTAAACAAGCAAACAAATAAAACCCAGTGATACTTCTGACTGGAAGACCGTTTCTTACACTAAAATCAGAGGTAATAACTAGCACTCTAAACTCAGAGTTGTCTCAGTTGGTCTGTCATATTTTACACACTATTTTCATTTATTTTGCTTTGTTTTGAATGGTAACTGGTTATCATACTGCCTGTCCTAAAGAGGACCTAGGAAAACAAGTAACTCCAAACGCTGGGCAGGGCCATGAGACAAAAGTCAAGGCGTTTCCAGGGAAAATTTTCATTCCCATACTAAATTCAGTCTAGCTTCTAAACTGGGATTCCCATGGGGAGGAGTTCCTTCTATAACATGGCTTTACTGCAAACACTGCTTGGGAAGTTCACTGTCCAGAACAGAGCCTTAAGGCTGGACCTCTCTCCTTCTCATCAGATGATGTGTTGTAATTATCAAATTCTGGAATGTTTTTCTCAATGTTTACATACTGATATAAATAGAAATACTTCCTACAGGACTGGACCCAAGCAAGAAATGAAAATGGGACTCGCCATTTAACATAGAAAAGAACCATTCTTATATTTAATTGCCACTTTTGCAGTGGGAATCATATTTAAATACCTTTGGGACATTTCTGTCAAACAACTAAAGCAATTCCTTGCTATCTTCTTAATGGACTGAAAAAGAAAGACATTTAGTTGTCATGAAAGACATGCTTTAAGTGCAGACTACAATATTATGTTTAGCAGCTCCCCAAGGTAGTGCTCGCCCAGCTCTGTTTGGTTTGGGTTAAATTAGATAAGTGTTTTTCCTTGTCCTCCACCGGTACTCATCACTTGTTGGAGCTGGATTCAGACGAGCCTCGCAGTGAAGCAGTTGCACATCTCCTATGGACTCTGCCCGTACTGTCGAGGCTGAAAAATGACCCAGCTCCAAGGCTAAAGTGATTTGCCAAAATAGCAGCTTAAGCTAGAGGTTATTCCAATGTAAATTCAACGTGACGAATGCTAAAGAGATTGTGGAACAACGGAAAGCCATATGCTGGCAAAAGGAAATGGGAAGGGCAGATGCTCTCCTCAACTCTTACACAAAAATCTGATTGTCAGGTTAAAACTAAGGCCACCCCGCAAAGGGGCAGCGGTAGGAGCAAAAGGCTGTGTTGTTACTCCTGCAATATCTGAATTGGAAGCTGAGGGTAGAAGCTGAGCAGAGCACCGAGTCAGGCGGGTACAGGGCAGGGCAAGCTCATTTCCAGCACTGAGGAGTCTTCTCCCTTCCCTCTAACTCAGTCCAGCGGTTCTCAGCAGCTTAGGAAATAGCTCTTCTCCCTTCCAAACTACTGTCATGCTCCAGAATGATGCCATGCCATCAATTTACCAGCGTGCTCCATCCTACACCACCTCTTCGGTTACAAACTCTTATCTCTTGCATTGGTAACACAGAATTACTAACTCACAAATAAGGTCAGGTGAATTAGGTTCTTCTTTTTCCTTTCCTGCTTGCCAGTCTTGAGAAAAGGGAAAATCTCCTCCTGTAGGGAGGAGTGATCACACGTTCAGTCCCGTATCTTGGGTACTCCGAGGTGTGAAGAGTGACACTCGATGCCTCTCTGCAGACAACTAACTCGCACCCTAACTGCTCAGAGCAAGAGCTGTCAGACTCCAGACTATGCCAAATGACAGAAGAATTTTAAAAGGGGACTAAGATTAAAAATATTTATGTATCATTTGGTTCCTGAAAAAACATAAATAACACACCAATAACGCCTGGATTTCGCGTGCAGTTTGCTATTGTATTATCTAGGCGACGTACTAGACTACTCAGATTGGGAGAGCCCCAGCGCTTTTCTTTTGGTTTGTTCAAAACTCACACAAATGTGAGCTTGAACGTAAGCATTTCCCAGAAATATAGCAAAAAAACCCCCAACATTAATTGTGCTTTAAAATCACTCAAGCGTAGGCAGCCTCTGAAATGTCAGCTATGCCTGTTACACAGCAAGGACAGGGTGAGGAGGGGGATAACCTAATGGAGAGCTCTAGCCAGGCCAACAAGGAGGTCTCTGAAGCTACTCTGAGAAGGATTTATTTCTTACGATGGCCCAGACGACACCACACTATGACAAAACAGAAAGACTGGGACTCATGTTTCTTCATAGTAGTTAAAAGTTAGGAAAACAGTCCTTGCATGCCCGTGAAATTCCACATCGCGCTCCTGGTTCCTCAGATTTCATGTAGGTAGGAAGGATGCAAGGGAGAGAAAGAATTTCATGCCACTGAGGACTAATCTTAATCCAGCCCTATAGCAGATATTTAACTAATCATCCATCATATGGGTAGACCTATAAAATGAGTTATATTTCTCATCAATAAAAAAGTTCCTGTAAGCTAGTTGTGCGTTTCTGCATACTGTTCATTGTTCTGATAAAGCCATATGAGAATAGAAGATGCAAAACTGAAATGCAATGTCTTTCTTTTAAAATTAGATGCTTATACCAGAGCAGAGGTTGTGTATGAATGGACACGGGAACCAGCAAGGTCAGTGGTTGTGGCTGAAGACGGCTCTCGATTGAACCAATATGATCTGCTTGGACAAACTGTGGACTCTGGAATTGTTCAGTCCAGTACAGGTCTGTGAATTTTTTTGGGAAGGGTCATATTTAACTGCCAAAACTTAAGGAGAAAAACTATACAAAGACCAGAAAGAGAGGTTCAGATTAGGAAAACATGACTTTGAAAAGATAACATATCCTTGGATTGTTTTCCTGCTTCAACTGATAGTTAAAATATTTGAACAATTAAAAAGCTTCCTACAGTGCAGTTCTAGGCAGAAAATAGAAGTGATTTACATTCTAAAGAAGCACTCCCTCCTCATATCCTTATCGTATTATCTGCCTACTATATAAGCTTAAAAAAAATAGTATAAGAATATGAATCCTCCGCGATTGTATTCTGGCAAGAAATGAAGTAAGTTGCTGGAAGAAAGCATATAGTTTCTCAAGGAAGTATCTAGGGAGTGAAAAAGATATGTCATCAAATTAAAAACCATCTGGAACATACAAACAGGATTTAGGTGTGTTAATGCTAGCACCTTTTTTAACTCTAAAACTATTAATGAAATACAGTCAACATTTATCATATGATATACCTGTAACCTTGAAGCTGGTTAAAAGACCTTTGCTTTTTGACTTTGCGGTGTTTGTTTCCAGATGAAATTTTTTTTAATAATTTGGAAGGGGCACGGAGACCTAAATACAGTAATAAACTGAGCATTGGGCATGAACAAGAGCTTAAAGCATTAACTGGATTGACTATTCAATGGACTAAAACAAGCAGCACATTAGGAGGAGTAGTTGTGATGCTTTGAAGGCCTCCGACACTGTGCCTGAACTGGAGAAGGACACTTACACGTGCATAAACCAAAGTTTCTAATGCGTCGCTCAGAAGTTCAGCCAACATTTAAGGAAAAGTGAGTCAGCTTAAGGTGAATTAAGGTATTTAGCTTGCCAGAAATAGACATTCATACATTCTATCAAGCCAGCAAAATTTCTCACAGACAGAAAGTTTCTGGTGGAACCAGTATCCCGCTAACTGCTCAGAAACTTCTGCCCAGTTGATGTAACTGTAAAAGGAGCGGGTCGGCAGTAGTAAGGACTGTGCATACGAACAATATCAGCACAACTGCACTCACAGATTCACTGCTTCCGTTACTGAGCACAGAGGTGCGTCTTTTTCTACATGAAGAAACTCTTTAACGTGCCTATTTGTAAAGTTAAATAATTAATATTTGCTGAAATTAAGATGCTGTGGCCTAGATACAGAAAAACATTACAAAGAACTAAATACAATGGTTATCAAAACTAAAAATAAGGCCATTAATGAATCTTTTTAGTAGCAAACTTGCAATCCTCTTTAGTTACCACCTGAGAAGAACATAGAGTGGTGGAAGAAACACATTTATTGCTTGCAAATTAATGTCTCAGGAAAAAAATTCTCCTTGTTTTGCTTTGGAAAGGGAAATATTTTGCCTTCCCCAAAATAGTGGTGGGGATCAGAAGTGGTTAATAATCACTTTTTTTCCCCATTCACATAGGTGGGCACCTAGCCTCAACAGAATCACCCCAAAACATCTTTGTCCTCTAATTATATGACATACGAAATGAAAAATATGAAATCACTCCCTACTTTGAGTTGTGGCTGATGACTCATATGACAAAAAGGAAAAAAAAAGGAATTGCAGCCAATCTCTGTGTAAGAGTTAGGGTTAGCACCTTCATTAGACAAGAAAAGGAAACGCTCATGCATTTGATTCTGTGGATCATTAGAGAAATCTGCAACATCTAAGGCAATTTTAAGATTATATTTGTCTGGAATTCCAAACACGTACTTTCCAAGAATTTGGGTGTAAGTAGGTTACTCTAAACATTCTCAAACCTATTAAATAATTTTGGTGAATCCATAAAGTCCTTTTTTTTTTTTTAATTTCTTCCTTTGCTAGCAGGCCATCTGCTATCCTTATTTCTGGATCTAGAACAAGATTATTGAATTTTTTGAATTGCAAGAGAATCTTGAAAGACTAAAACTTTTATAGTATTTGTGCTGGCAATGGAATGCGTAGGTTCTTCAGGCTTAAAAATAGTCTTCAGTAAACGAAATAATGATTATTGTTGCTGCTGTTTTGCTTAAGCAGAGAATCATCAGCTTTGTGCTTCTATGTAAAATTCCTGCCACTCTCCAACTGCTGACTCATATTGACTCAGAAAGTTTAAAATTATCTTCTTTGTAAGCATCTTAATGGATGCTTAAAAGGCTAGTGCAAGTTTCTATTTACATAGAATAATTTTGCCACTTTGAAAACAGTGAACCCGGGATTTATATTCACAATGGTATAATTTTTTTCTCATGTTCTGCAAATCTGCGAAGAGGATGCTGTTCTTAAGCGTTTTCTCTGTTGGGTTACACAGCATAAATAGGAAATGAGAAGTTCTTTGTTTTAAATTCAGGGCAAGGAAAGCCTTACTTTCTACTTACAGTGATAGAAAATAGTATTATTTTAGCTAAAACTCAGTCCCCACCTCAAACCCTATGTCTGACGCGATGCACATTAATTTTAGATGCTCTTCC